GCACAAAATGGGAGTCTTTGCAGTTAGTTTGTTTGTATGTGTGTGTGTGTATGTGTGGACACTGATATCTCAAGAACCATACATCAGTTTTTGATAAAACTTGGTGCATAGATGTTTCGGGGCCAATGCGCAGATTTGATTAGGTTTTGGTGAAATCCCATGCATATTAATTACCTAATTTGCATAATTAATTAATTTCCAGCTTTTGATGTTTCAAGTAGTAAGCATTACATTTCAATGAAACTTGGTACATAGATACTCAAGGACTATGCAGAGATTAATTTTTTTAGGGTAAATAATTGAGCATATTAATCACCTAATTTGCATAATTAATTAATTTTCAGCTTTCACACTGATTTCTCAAGTACTTATCACATTTCAATGAAACTTTGTACATGGGTGCTATAGGACAATAGACTGGATAATTGTGGGTTAAAATACATATTAATTACTAATTTGCATAATTAACCACTTTTAAGCTATCACACTGATATCTAAAGTACTAATTATTCCATTCCAATGAAACTTAGTACAAAGATGCTCCAGGACAATGTACAAACCTGATTAGTTTGGGGTTAAAATCTGTTTATATTAATTCCCTAATTAGCATAATAATTCATAATTTTTTTGGGTTCCAATCGCATTTCAATAAAACTTGGTACATAGATGGTCTGTTACATTGCGCAGACCTCATTAGTTTTACACTCAAATCTGTTCATATTTATTTTCTAGTTTGCATTATTAGTTTTCAGCTTTTCCATCACTATCTCAATCAAGTACAAGTAATTTTGAATTATATTTAATGTGTCTCCAATACTCTCAGCACATGGAAGTTCTTTCTAAGCTTTCTTAGATTCAATTTTGTAGTACGTATATTTAAGATTAGCTTGAGTATTAGTTTCACTTTAATGATGTTATATTTTGGAGTCAATGTGGTAAAAATTTTATATTCAGGAAAGTTTCATTTTGCATATTTATTTATGTCATACTCATTCATAAATAACAAATTTATTTTGTTGATTTTATACTCTAGTTAATGAAAGTTGACAGCAATGGTGATTTAACAAAAGAACAATGGCAAGATGTTTACGTGGCAGGCGAACATACAAAGATTATTGATATGGATGTATTTGACAATCACTGCGTGCTCTTAATGAAACATAAGGGTATACCTGGTGTTACAGTTATACCACTACAGTGTCCATCAGAACACAAGTCAATACAGGTAAGTAATGGGACAGATTTTTGAAATGCAACAACCGTAGAAATAAAACAAAACCATAGCAAATAATCTTACCAATGACTGGTCTTAACATCATCCCACTTTCCATCATTGAATAGCTTTGTGCTCTGCAATGACATACTAATTCGTCATCAGTAATCATGTATCAACTCATCAAACTATTTTTATTGCAGCTTCCCGTTACTAGCTGTGTACTACTTCCAAATGACAACCCTGATTTCTATTCTACAATGTATGACTTCACGTTGGCATCACCGATATTGCCAGCTGTTAAATATAAAGTTGATATGAAATCTAACGTAATAAACAACACAGATGGCGAGTCAGAATTTTGGCTTGATAAAGATGAACATTATACTTGTCAAAGAATAGATGCAATAAGCAAGGTAAATCATTATACAGTAAACTAGTATTCTATCTAGCTAATTTTAGTCCCTGTAAGACAAAGTTGAAATGTGGATTTAAATTTTAGGTTCTGTGTGTGTGTGCATGTGTTCATGCAACATCATTTCTTGGACATGCTTGGACTGATTTTATCATAGTAAATCATAATGGGATACATATGCACGTTGATTAGTTTTTCGTTTTATTGACCGTTGGCCAACTCATGGTCATTTCAGTCCCACGAATAAACAACTGAACATATTATCAACCACATGTGTAGACCAATTTCATTGGAACTTGACATCAATCGTGGTGTCGATTGTATTGTAGAATACTCCCATCATATTAAGATGTTACAAAATTATATGGTATATTAATTTTCTGTTTTGGTTTTCTGTTATTTAGGATGGTTGTGAGATTGGGATGACTGTATTCTATCAATCCAACCTACCACTAGATGGCAACAATCCTATGTTAGTGTATGGTTATGGTGCTTATGGTGAAGATATGAATTTGAATTATAAACCTCAACAAATGATATTACTTAATAGAGGTTGGATTATAGTGTTTACACATGTCAGGTAGGAACAGATAATATTCCAAGCCATATCCTTACCAGGTCTATTTTCTGTATTGCATGGTGTGAGTCTTAGCAGATTACAACTCAGTTTACTGGTAATTCGGTGTTCTGTTTTGTCAAAAACTGGCAAGTAAAATTATGCTAATCTAAATTTATCTTGAGGTGGGAATTAAAATACCAGTAGTGGTATTATTTGTATCCATTATAGTACCCAAAATTAGAGAATTGAAGATATCATCACGAAATGAACAAATCTGAGAAAGGTCTACGTGTAGTTCCTATATATGTAATATCAAAGCAATTGAACTTTTGGTTTTTAACAAGAAGTCGAAAATATCACTTTTTACCAAAAATTACAAAAATATTCACGAAAATTAGAGAATTGAAGATATCATCACAAAATGAACAAATCTGAGAGAGGTCCACATGTAGTACCTATATATGTAGTATCAAAGCAATTGGACTTGCGGTTTTTAACAAGAAGTCGAAAATATC